GCCCCCGCATCCCCCCACCCCCGTAACTTTTTGCCATTTGAGGACCAGACGCGCGCCGTTTGCGGGGAGGGGGGATTTGCGTTTTTCAATGGGGGGGCAATTGTCTTTATATAACGCCCCCCCCCCATTTGAGGACCACACTCCTCATTCAATGGGTATTTTTTATTCCCTGTGCTGTGTTCTTTTCCAACTTCATTGACTGGAAGGTAGCACAGCGGCTGAGGAATGAGGAATCTTTTACATCTCATCCATTTCTTTCTTTGGCGAATGCAAGACCGCAAATGAAGATGAGGGGATTTCTGTATCTGCGCACATACCCTGAACCCGGCCATCTGTCCGATGTTCGGATAACCTCACACAGCCGGTTTGACAAATCAATAGTAACAACTTGTGAAGGTAGTCCAACAGTTTCATTCGGTCGTCATTGGAAACTGGGTTCTCGGTTCAATTTCTCAAGTTATACATTATGCAAGGTAGACACACATGACCCCTCTATACTTTGTATTAAAGGCATGGCTAGCGGTAAAATTAGCATCTGTTAAATTCTATTTATGATATTGTAATAACATATTACGTCATATATTGAAATATAATGCTATATTTACGATATTAGTTCTATATTATGTTAAATGGTATTAGAAATAGGGAATACGATGCTATTTTATGATATTATTTCTATGATATTAAGTTAAATTATATTAGAAATATGGAATACGATGCTATTTTATGATATTAGTTCTACGGTATTAAGTTAGTTATATTAGACATATGGAATACGAGGCTATTTTATTTTAGTTCTACGATATGAAGTTAAATTGTATTAGAAATAAGGAATACGATGCTATTTTATGATATTAGTTCTACGGTATTAAGTTAGTTATATTAGACATATGGAATACGAGGCTATTTTATTTTAGTTCTACGATATGAAGTTAAATTGTATTAGAAATAAGGAATACGATGCTATTTTATGATATTATTTCTATGATATTAAGTTAAATTATGTTAGAAATATGGAATACGATGCTATTTTATGATATTAGTTCTACGGTATTAAGTTAGTTATATTAGACATATGGAATACGAGGCTATTTTATTTTAGTTCTACGATATGAAGTTAAATTGTATTAGAAATAAGGAATACGATGCTATTTTATGATATTAGTTCTACGGTATTAAGTTAGTTATATTAGACATATGGAATACGAGGCTATTTTATTTTAGTTCTATGATATTAAGTTAAATTATATTAGAAATATGGAATACGATGCT